TTTTTGGGTTTTTTTTTTTTTTTTTTTTTTTTTTTGGTTTAAAACCTATTTTTTTTACCTTCTGACTTTACGTTGTTCTTTTTCCAATTGAAAAAAAGTGTCAATCTATATTAGGCCGCTTTTCAGTTAATCCTTTCATTTCAGAAGGTTACGCTTTATTTCTTTGGCATTAGTCAATGCCTCTTCCTCCTGCACTTTTCGCTCGTCTTAAACGGCGAGGGATTGTTAAAGAAGGTATGTTCATAAGATCAGTTTCACTCGAATGGCCAGGTTTGGAATGGTTTTGTTGATACAGTTTTACTGTGGCTGCAGGAAGAATTCTATAAATTAAATTAGTATGCGACAGAAAAAGTTTTTTCTGTTTATAATTAGGGGTTGGGTGAGGCGATATAATATCTTTTTCTGACGTGATTTCTTTTTTTAGAGGCTGTTGAAGAAGTTATAGCTGAAAATTACGATCCAGAGACAGTCACTGCCCAAACAAGTACAAAAAGGAAGGCAGAACGGAACGATGCTGGTGCTCCAGGGTGCCCTAATAAATGGAATCCGTATCACTATTGTGTCCAGTACTGTTATGACCATTGGAAAGATGGGACGAGTGAAAGCAAGTACGTTGTAACTGGTTTTTCAACTGTTGCAAATACAGTTTTTTTCTAGCCCATCTCCTTTCGACAACTTTGGCCATTGAAGGATTTTGAGATGGCTTTAAATTTGGGGTTTTTGTAGTTAATCTTTGCACTTTTTTCAGATTGTCCCAGAAATACAACGAACAAAGACTGAAAGTATTGAAAAAGTACCCGTTGCCAAACGGTGAGTCTAATTAGATGGTTTGTTACGCCAAGTGATGAGGCTCTTTGTTCCTATGAGACTAATAATATTTAAGGTTGGAAGGAAGTGTATGATGCAGGTTGTGCACGTCATTATTATTGGTGTCCTAGAACGGACGAAGTTTCCTGGCTACCACCAAGACACCCTCTTGCTGTCATTGGGGATGCAGCTCCTAAAATTGCGAAAGGTATTTGTCTGGTTCAAGAAGAACAAGTTTCATATTACTTCATTGAAATTTTCTATGAAGTGGTTGGTGCCATTGGATCAACCATATTATAATAATTTTAGAGTATTTTGAAAAAGGCGAAAATACAAACGGTTTGGAGAAGAAGGAAGAAAATGAGCAGAAGGAAAATGATAAGGAGATATACAGAGAAGACCGAGGCGGACGTATTTATCGCGACGATCGTAATAAAAGAAAAAGGGTATCTTTCTCCGTTCCTTTTCACAGTTCAATGAGTTTTTGAAATAGCATGAGAGAGTTCTAGTGGATGAAATGAAATATTTTCATTACTTTTAGTTCAGTTGTCTCATCAGCACCACAGCCAGCTAGAAAAAATTTTGAAAGTCATAATGAAATTGTTTTTTTCTTGAAACCTTGCTTCTTTTTCTTAGAAACCTGTCTTCCAAAGTTTATCCTTTCTTATTAAAGCGGCGTGGTTCTCTCTCGGGATCAGACGATGAGAGGAGGTCTCCGGACTCAAACAGCGATGACGAGACAAGACCGGAGTTATCGGACCGTGACAAACTTAGTTAGTTCTTTATAGCTTACGAGATTTTCTTTTGAAAAATGAATTTTCACTTTTTTTAGGAAAATTTCTTCATCTACTTATTTTTAAGCTATTCCCTCACTCTTAAACACATTGTTTCCACAACTGGTTTACTTTTTAATTTTTTATTTCAACATTTATCAAAGTCTGAGCTTGAGTTTACAAAACAGAAAAGTCTGCTGGCGGAAATTGCCAGATTATGCTCACCAAACTGCGAAATTTTTCTAAATTTTGTTGCAAAAAAACTTATTTGAGGAATTTATAATTCTACCTTTCATGCTCAGAAAATGCAGTTTAACATTTTTTGGAGGGTTATATTTTTTGTCAAGAAATAATACGCCTTTACTACAACCTCATTGCCAAACATTTTCGAATATATAAAAAATTTGAAAGTGAATTACGCAAAACAATCTTCAGTTTTTTTTTTTTTCTTGAAAGAGCGCTCAGGCTTTTCCGCCTTGTAAAAAGAGTGTTTTTTCAGGTTGCTAAAGTGAGTTTTATTAGAGAGAACAAAAAGTTGATGACAGCATATTTAAATCAGTTTTCCGCAACTGGACTAATTTTTTTAGCCTAAACGGCAGTAGATTTTTTTTGGAGTGGTTAAATTAACTGTGGAATTCGGCGGAGATGTACCTTTAGAGTGCCTAGTCTTTTTGCTGAATTCTCTTTGGTATATTTGACTCTAAGCTCTTTGGAGATAGCACTGTTCAAGTCTGATCGTCTCACAAGACAAAAAATTTCTCTCAGGTCGAAAGCAAATTTTTGACCATAATATACTTGTGAAGTTTCTTTTGTGAATCCTCAAATTTTTAGTGGTAGGGCCGTACTGAACACATTAGTTTGAAATTATATTCGAGTGAAAGAATTGAAAATTGTCCGATTCCTTGAGAAAAGTTAAGGTTATGATACTTTAGACCATTTCGCTCTGCAAAAAAAACTTTTGAGGTTTTTATGCTTTGATGGGATAGCGTGGCAATAAACTCGTTTTGCCAGGAAAATTCTTTGAACTTGGATGTTTGGGATTGATTTTGATATGATATCGAAACTAAAAAAAAGGGTAATTATTGATGAAACTTTACAGTTTAGTTTGAAGTGGTTTCTTTATTTTTCTTGTCGCATATTATTTTCGAATAGGCTTTTTTTGCGGAAGAGTGATCAGCTTGGCTTTGACTGTTCTTGCATAACTGGTTTGTGTTGTGGTAGGGGATGAACTTTTAATTGTCCAATTGTAGAACGAGCAAGAAGGAAAGGCATCGACCCTATGGATCCTGCAGCGTATGGCGACAATGTGCCAATGTCAGTAGTAATATTTGCTTTGATTTCATAGTGCCTTCTTATCTGTAGGTAAAGAAAGTGAGCCACTGAGAAAACGATTTGGGTTTTTCTGGCTTTGGAAACCGTAGTTTCACTCCACAATTTTTTTGGGTTTTTTTGCTTTCATTGTTCTGTTTATGCAAATGAGAATGAAATAGCGTTAATTTCTAACACCAGTAGTATTAAGACAGTAACGGCAAAAAAGTTTAACGAGAACAAGTAATATGAAGAACAGATGAGCAGATACGGCAAGGATAGAAACTGAAACATGAGCACACCGCAAATAGGAACTTTATCAGGTTTAGTAATTTTTTGTTGATTTATAAGTTTTTTTTAGTGGGACGTGGAGTTCTGGCTTACATGCTCATGATAAGTCGGGCGCAGATGTCACAGCAACCGGGCCGTTATTCCAGCAGAGACCTTATCCAGCCCCTGGAGCCGTTTTAAGGAAGCAGCAGCAACAAAGACAGTAGAGTACTTCTTTACAAATTATTTTATTTTGTTGAAAGGAAGTGCTCAAAAACAAGCCGCTGCGTTTTGACGCGCATTATTTATGTATATAGCACTCGCTGAGTTCTGCGTTCAAATATGTGTAGGTGCGTGCGACTTCTTTGTTGAATGTGTTTGAAACATTGATCAGGCAGTAATTTGTAAAAAAGTATTGGGAACCGTTTTAGTTATCCGAATAATTTTCCAACGAGTGAAGAAGGTGAATATGTTAAAGTTTCAAAATTTTTAGAAAAAAATTTGGGTTTTGTTGGCAACAAATTGCTGTTTAAAGTTATTATTATCACCTTAAAGTGTTCATCAATAAAGGTTTTGGTAGTTTATGAGAACGTTTTTTAAAAATAGCTTGCTTCATTTTATTAGCAACATTGATAACATTAATGACAACAAGGTAAGTAGCATAGAGCAGTGTATTTGTTACAGTTAAGCAAAATGATTGCTGAGTATCGTTGTTATTTTTTTTCAATTCATGATGAACCATAGTGCATTGATTTTCACAAAATAAAAAACGAAGAGTTTTGTCTATTTATATCTGGTAAAATTGAACGGCTCTGTCCATGTGAAATGTGGATTTTTTTTGAAGTCAATACATTCTGCACATCCACAGTAGGCTTCGCCGCTACCACAGTAACCTGCTCTGCTGCAGCAGTGTGCTATTGGAGAGTTGGGGTCACATATTGCGTATCTTCCGCTTCGTAATTTTGGAAATTTTGGACCACACCGTCCTGAAAAAGTGCTAAACAGTTTTCGAAGAGTTTTTTGAAGATTGGACGGTGAGAAGCCAATCCAAAAAATTTGCGGTAATTATTCCAGAAAGTTTCAAATAATGTACCATTGCTGTCTGTAATGACATGGCGACTCAACGAGGGAGCGGTGAAATCTGTTGGGTTTTCGGTGTTGGTCTTCCGGAAGTTGATGCATCCTGCGCAGTCACAGTGGTGTACGCTGTTTCCGCAATAGCCAGCGTTTGAGCAACAGTAAGCTTTATCATTATCTGGGTTACATATCGCGACTGTTCCATCAGCCAATTTTGGAGCAAAAATTCCACATCGATTGCGTTCTTCTGGGCTAGCGTCACTGGTAAACCTGAATTGCGTGCTTAAAAAATTGAACAAGTTTCTCAATTAAGAAGGTGTTTGGGTAACGACATTTTAAGGTGTTCATTAACATCACTGTTTTTTCAGACGTTCGACGACATAATGTCAGGGTAATGCACCAAACTTATAGTTTGCGATGAATATGAGTAATAAAAGTGAAATTTTAAAGAAAATTCCGAAAGGTGTTGGTGGGGACCAGCATCTTTAAAGTTGACTTAATTCAATCTCACCACCGCACTTCTACTGAGGGTTTAACTGGTTCCTTCAGTAAAAGCATTGGATCTGCAGCATAATTAATACAGTCTTCACAGTCACAGGATTCTGGCCCGCTACCACAGTAGCCATACTTTCCACAACAGCTGTAGCCTGGATCATCTGGGTCACATACGGGATAATATCCATTATAAAGAGGTGCGGAACGACCACACATACCCGCAAGTTTCTGTAAACAGTCGGTCATTGTTCAGATTAGAAAGTCATTACCTGACTAATCCACCACTTATAAAAAATAACATTAATTTACAGCTCAGTTTCATTAGACAAAACTGTTTAATTACTTGGTTTCCCAATTTATGCCTTCCAGTTCTAGAATAAGTCTTCTAAGTGAGATTTAAAGTAACGTTGTTACTAAATAATACGTCGCAGACCTCATCATCTGCCATAGTCCACCAACGTTTTTCTTTCAACGGCGAGCATTTGTAGTTTAAGGTAGTAGTGGCTGATGTTCCACACATTTGCTTTGATGTCGCTGTTTTCAGTAGTGTATCGCTGTCATCATCAAAATCCAACGACCAAAACATCAGTCCTCCCAAATTTTTTTGCAAAGCATAGTCGAGCTAAATTCAGTAAAATTTATGCTACTATGACAAAAAATTTTTTTGCTTTTTTTAAAGTATTAGTTTTTTCCTCTTTTTATCTTATGATGCATTAGAGAAACTACATTAGACATCGACTCACTTTACTTCACTATAGCCGGTTGTGTAGTGAAAACTAAAATAGGTTTAACAATAAATTTTATTTCCTGATTGAGTTTTATAGCTAATTAAGTGAGTTTTCAACCTGCAAGAGGTGTATTCTAGGTTTCATATCAGCGAATTGAAAGTTTTTTGGGCTTGCTATTTTTTAAATTTTTAAAAGTTATATTTTGATGGAACCGTTCTGTTTATCTTAAAGCAGCAGGCTTCTGCCATTAAGTTTACTTCCTTCACATAGCGTTAAAGTGGTCTCGCACTAATCTACATATTTTTCATGTCAATTTTCAAACATTCTAGATATTGTTGAAAAGGGAAAATTCATGAAAATTATGCAGTTTTATTGCCTTCCTGATGCTTAACGAATCATTTCCAATTTTACTTTTCTCTGGCTAGTAGGTCTGTCATCCTACAGCCGAAAATTACCATTATTTCAGATTTTGCTCCACTTTTCTCAAAGTAAAATTCTTAAATTGTTCAATATTTTTTTTGTAGTGTTCCTCGTAAGCCTTTCAAAATATTTAAACAGTTGATTAGTCTCTCTTAACTGCTGAAGACGTATTATAGTTACTCTTAAGTTCATTCAGGTTTGGCATAGTAGCAAACCGTTAGGTGCGACCGTACCACGTCATATTTGATATTTTCCGATTTAACGCGATTTAGGTTTAAGAATCTTCTTGTAGTAAAGTATATTAGTTTTTGATTCCTTTTTTATTTCCATCAGCAACCTCTTTGAATCTCTTTAATGAGAAATTTTAAAGTACCGAATGAAAAAAGAAGCATTTTTATGTAAGGCTGTAGCATAATTCAAATTACTCTTAACTTTATTAATTATTAGGTCTAAACTACCATTAAGTGTCTTAATAGAGTAACTTTTGCATCTCTTAATTTGGAAAGCAAACGTCTATTTTTTTATAGAGGAGGCACAAAAAGGAAGAAAAGAGGAGGAAGTGAGAAATGTAAATTACTGATTCAAAGCATGTTTTCGCTTATTAATTACTGGTTTACTAAGTTAGAGGAAGAACCGTTATTATTCCGGATTATTTTTTGGAGGTAACTGACCGTCATTAGATAACTGAATGTTTACTTTGTAAGCAACAGATAATTCATTCTCAAATCCGAGGAAAATTCTCTTCTCCATCATCCATATATAAGGTGTCTTTGAAACGTTATGGAACGTCGTCCGACTCAGATCCCACTGGTGTGGTATGTCGCGCCACGCAATTTGTCTGTAATGGTCGTACTTTTCATTATTCCTCTTTTCCAGAATTTGAGGCGTAGTAGTCCAGGAAGCAAATAAAGAAGCTTAACTTTAGTCTTCATCAGGAACCTAATATGTAATGAGCTTTATAGATTCAAGTTAAAGTGCCTCTGAGACGCTATAGAACGTCGTTACGCAATTAACGGAATGCTGTCTTAGCTTGAACATACCCTCCTTGAAATTCGCCATTAACAGGCTCAGCAATTCTCCACATTTCGTCATGCCCATCTGCTGATCCACCAACATTTTTCCAGAACCTTCCATAAAACGGAATTCCAAGATTTAGCTAAATTAGAAAGTATCTTCTCTTTCTTTTCAAAGTTCAGTATCAAAGTCAACAAGTTTTTACAAACTTTTTTTTTAGAATTTTGCAGATAAAATTGTTTTGGTCTAGTTGTAATGACAGTAAGTTTCGTAGCGGATTATAACTGACAATACACTGCTTATTTAAACATTTAGTGCCAGTGAGCAATATTTAGCTCTTAACAGTAACAAAAAGTATTACTTTAGATGTGTCAAGGAGCTTGCACGCGTAATACTTCATCGTCCAGTCTACAGTCATCTTACCAGAAAAATTTTTGGGCATTGAAAAATACAGTGGTGCTGGGGGACCTGTATGCGCTCCCCACTTACTCCGCCAAGCTCCAAAGTAGTCATAGGTCATCACGTTTACAAAGTCAGCATAACGTACTAACATGTTCAAATCGAAGCCTAAGGAATGTTGCATAAATAAGGTTCGTAGCAGACCTTAGATAGTTTTTTGCAAACTTAGCATACTAGCATACTAATTGACTTTAAAGTTCTAGTTTTATTTCACAAGAAAAAATGCATTTTTCTAAAAGCAGAATTTTTTAAAATTAAAGTGAATTTCAGGTTGACAGTGTTGTAAGATTACGAAAACTTCTGTTGTACTTCCTATAAATATTGAGCGCAGCTAAAGTCACCTGGGTCAAGTGTCCATTGTCCTGCTGCACCAGCAAATGAAATAATTAATTTCCTGTCTGATCTGGTAGCTACTTCATATTCAGTAAAGCGTCTTCGTAGTTCTCGTAACAGTAGCACATAGTTGGAGCGGTCTGACTGAAAGGTAAAAATCATCTGCAGCTGCATTTCCACAAAAACCTGTGGTAAATTTTATGAAATTTTTGAACTCTTCTAGCAGTATAAAGGGAGAATTTGACGAATTCTATCATTAAAATTATGAATTAGCTCAGCAATAAGCTAACCGATAATCCTTCAGTTTCACCTCCAGTAACCGGATATTCCCAGTCAATATCAATGCCGTCGAATCCGTAATATCGAATTACTTGTAAAATTGCATTTATAAAAATTTTCCTTCTAAAATTTACTTCATTCGACAGATTTGGCTATTATATGTTTTAATTTTTCTGGAAATGACATATCTTAGGCTTTCAGTACAGACAGATTTACGACCTAGGAGCAAAGCTTTCTTCAGTGAAGAGTCAGTAATAAAGTAGCCTATTATGATGATGATACTGATTCTGAGTTAACACTGGACAAGAGTGAGTGGAGGTTGAAGTTACACGAGTGAAAATGCGTGAGTCTCTTGCTGCAAAAAATCGCAGTAAAATCAGGTTGAGAGAAGGTTTAGCCCGCAAAAAAAGCTTCAGAGAGGACGCTAAAGATATTGTTGACTTTCGCTAAAGATACATTGGGTGAAAACTTATGAATGGTTATTATACAAGCCATAATTGTTGCACATTCTTGACCGGTAAAAACTAGTCTGTAGTCTACAAAGTTAGATCTTACTAAACAAAAAAGATAACGCTGAATGAGCTTAAGATACCGATATTTGAGAGAAACTAGGGTGTTTTTTCTATGGGTAAATACTCTCCTCTACCTCACCGCTTCCACCACTGGGATCTTGTTACTTCATCCGTTCCAAGGAACTTGTTCGCTATAATAGAAAATTTTCCCTAAATTTGAAAATAATTGCCATAAAAAATGTAAAATTTGTTGAACATATGTGCAGGTCTTCAGACAATACTGCCGTTTAGTGGTAACGATGCCAGGGCCGGTTGAAAGTGGCAAACTTGCACCTATCATAACAAGTGTGGCAACCGTGCAAAACTCTTCGGCCGTTCGTGGCAACTAGCCTGCTTTCAATTCTACGTACCTAAGGCGATTCAAAATGATAATTTGCTATATATGCGGCTACAAATGGGTTTTGAAAAAATAGTGCCAGTGACATAATCGCTCGTAAACTCCTAATTTGCTGTATTGAAAGTTTAATAAAGCTTTTAGCCCTTCACTTGATTATAACGCACAGAATGTAATTTCTAATCTGTCATTTGAAAGATATCTTCGCATTATTCTCTAAATACAGCGAAAAAATGCCAAAAATATCAGTTTACAAATTCCCAGCTTTTAGCAAGTGGAGAAAAACTAAAAGAAAAGAGGCAAATAATAATGAAAAAGCATGAAAGCCTGATTCAGCCGACAACCTCTTGAAGCAACTAATACTGCTTCGCTCCTTTTATCCACATTTCCGTTTTTAGAGGAGATATCAGCTGAGTATTTTTTAAAAACTGAACATTCCAAGCTGAAATTCCTAGTTTACGTTGTACAAATTATATAAAAACCTTTCGTAATCTGCTGTTAGAAGCGAGAAGTACTGAGAGTTCTCCCATCCACCAATTGCAAATAATACTTTCAAGTGATGGTAACGACGAGCTACCTTAAAGATTTGATGCATGTTAACACTCATGAATAATGAAAATTATAACCAGAAGCAAATCATCTTATTTAAAAAAGACAGCAAATAAATAAAAAAACAATAAAAAATTAATATTATTTAATTTTAATTTAGTTTAATTTAGTTTATATTCACTGTATATAAAGGTATATTCACTACAATTAGTTATTGTCGTCTGCTAGAGCCTAAAATTAGAGCATCTCGTAGATCAACTTCCCTATGGTAATAGTATGTTTTTTAAATGTTGGGAGCAAAGGGACCGTTGCCCTACGAAAAAGTTATCAGTGTTTGTGTTGATAAGTTAGTTGAGTACAGAAAAACTGCAATGTTTATCAATTTTCAAATCTCTTTTGTTTAGAAAATCTGCTTTACTAATTTTAAATAAGCTTCGTAAGTAGTGTGTCAGTAATATTGACTGAAGAACCTTTAAAATTTAATCCACTTTTTGATAGATAAAAAAAACTATTTTTAAGAATAATAATTTTAATTATTCGAAAAAAAAATTTAGAAAGAAAATTACAGGAAACATCTGTAGAATAGCAGTTTTCTCGTCAAAATCTCAGAAAAAAAAGCTAGATTTTAAAGTACATTCCTAGAGCTTATGCAGAAAAAGAAAAGAATAAAATTTTTGATGAAAACGCATATAGCAAACTCACATTAAGCAGTTGTTCAACCCTTTTCTTAGCGATCTCGTAATTTTGATGGCCATTTGTACCCGTTTCACTGCCGAGCGACAAGCTGCCATCTGAATTGACACTGAAGAATGCATATATTACGTGGGTCAATCGACGAGCCTAAATCAAAAATCTCTCATTACTGTAACTCAAAGAGATCGAAAGCTAAAAAAATACAGATCTTAATTGCGATTATTTATATAATTCATAACAAAATAATCAAAGTTTTAATACAAAAAAAGAGAATTTTTTAAGTTTTTTTACTTTTTTAGCACAATGATACTAATAAACAGATAAACTATAAATTTATTTTAACCTTGAAATAAATCTATTTGTAAACGCTTAATTTAGATCAAAATCGGGAACGTGTAAGTTCCTGTATATGATTAAAAACAGTACTTGAGCTGGAGTAAAACTGCGTTCACCCCAAGAGGTGAAGTAGCCGACAACTCGCTTTCCACAGTCACCAGCATTAATGACCGGTGACATTTCATCATCTTCTCCTCGTCTACTAGAAAGTTCAAAATGACGTTTTTCTCTATCCGAGCCAATTGCAGTGACTTGAAAGCTTCGATTCTCAGTAAGCAGTCCATTGCTGCAGTTTACAGCACAAAGAAGGCATAATAGCAATAGCAAAAATTTAAATGCTCCAAAGACTAGCATTCAGGTCAGGTGTAACACCTAAAATTTTTCAGCGACATGATATCAGTATGAGTAAACGATATTTCTAATAAAGATATATACGAAAACAAAACTAATGACAAAACACACTAAAGCAATATCAAGATTGTTAAATTCATCGTTAGACTTCATTAATGGTAAGAAATCCAAAAAATTTTTGTTTTTTTTTTCTCATTTTGCACTCAACTGTTGCTTAACTCTACTACCTCGTAGTCCTAAAAAAAAAAAAGAGCAGTTGATTGAGGTACTTTAAAATTTAGCTATTCAGTGTATTTTTGAAATAAAAAGAGATAGAAAAATCTGCACAGTTGAGTAGTTCAGGTAATAAAAAATTGTCTTCCGTTGAGACGATTTGTTTCTCAAAAGCGGCAAATTGTCAGAGAGGCTTAGGGTAACTAAACAATATGTCAAAAACGAGTAGGCGACATATTGAGTGACGAACCGGTCAGTGTCGGCAATCGGATACCTGTGCTTTGTCGTCACACAGAATGGTCTCAAAAATAGTGAAGATGATCAGACGATCAAGAAAAACAGTTACATGGTTGCTTTTTTAAAGTTGCTTTCATTTCTGCTAACAAAAAAATTATTTCTTTCTTGCCTATCGTATTTATTTCTCGAAACTGTATAAACGTCAATTAGCTGCTGTTTATCGTGCTGATTTGAATCGCCTTACAAAAAAAGATAAAAAGGTGACCAAAATAATTTCTAACTTACAACATTTTGCAAGTGATTGGTTTCTTAGAAGCATTTTTGCTTTTATAAAAAAAAATTAACTATCTGTTATTGATACCAAAAACTGTTTCATGATAAAGTCAATTTTCCATTTCTCGTGATAATTCTTCAAGTCTAATGTTTACTTACGCAATACTTTTTCCACTTGCTACCATTCTGCTGTTAAAAGCTTTGGTTCTCATTTCAGGAAAACTGCTTTCCTAAACTAATGCGCAAACGGGTTCTAAGGATTCAACAGAACAATATCACTAAAGCTGTGCAGTAGGAATTTTAACGTAACTGCTTCGTTTAATATCTTTATAATTTTCTGTGGAGTAGATGTTTAGAATAAAGTAAAAATCTCTTCGAAATAAAAATAAAAATTTTTATTTTATTTTTTTGAAACTTTTTTTAATATTTGTAATATATTTATTTATAATATATTTTTTTATAGATCTATGATAAACGTTTACCAAAGCAATTTTTTGGCATTAGCCAAAGACTTTTTTAAATTGAGTTAGTCAAGGTGCATCACTATACAGTTTTAAACTAGATATATCATATAGCTTTTTCACAACAACAATAACTGACAAGAAACTTTTTTTTCAAACAGTATTATAACAAAGAAAAAATAAGAACATATTTCAAAAATTAGAAAAATAAGTTTTTTTTTTTTGAAATGTGTATATTTTACCAATCAGTTTACCAAATTTCTCCAACTATTCTGAACTATTGTTTCTCCTCCTTTTCAGTGAATTCCGTTTTTCGTTTCTGTAAAGTGTTGTAAAAGAATAAAGAATACTTGGAAATGCTGAAGCATCTTCTACTTCTTCCTCCTTCTCACTAACACATATAGAGGCAAGTGACTAGGTAATTTTATCAATTTAAGATAACTATTCAACACTTCCGAATAATAGGTGAGCAAAATATCAAAATTCAAACAAAATAAAACAATGAAAAAAAGATGACAAGTATTTGAAACAAAATGTGACCCTTTAGTAAAGAAAATCAACAAGATATGTCATTTCTTCATAAATTTTTTCTCAAGTAGCAGAAACTGCTCTCAAACATTGAGCTGTTGTTGCCTTACCCGAGATACTTGTTCGCTGAAGCTCAACAACTGTAAGTGCAACAAAGTCATCATATTCCTTGAAATACCAATCACTAAACATAAACAAAATACTCTCTGCTTCAAAAACTATACCAAACAAAAAAAAAAAAGCAAAAAAGAAACGATCATGGTGACAACTAAAACAATGATTTGCTGCAAAATTTTTTCATCCTCTTCTCTTTTCATACCTCTTGAGCCAAATGATACAAAGAGCCACGACATGTAGCAGAAGAAGGAGTTGACGACGAAGACGATGGCGACAGCAACTACAAGAAAGAAATGTCAAAAAGTTGTCAAGAAAAAAAGCAAAATTTAAAGGACCGAGATTATCATCGCAATACTTGATCCTTTTTTAGCAGAACATGTTTCTTCTCCAACCGTCCTCCTTCAACAACATCCCCCTTTTGTCTTCTTAGCAACCAACCATCGCTGAACACAGAGTTTTTCTGATCGAATAGCTTACAAAAACTGCTGAGTCAAACCTGCGCAAACAAATAAAAACACTCCCTAGAAATA